CCTTGGATGCATTAGATCTGGACCCATGGACTTGTGCACGTCCAGCTTTTCTAAATAGTTCTTAACCTGTTCTTTCACCCCTGAGGCCTGCTCACCTCCTCCCCATACTGTGTTGCCCAGGACAGCAATGTGGGAACTGACCTTGTCTGTGAAGACAGAGGCAAAAAAAGCATTGAGTACTTCAGCTTTTTCCACATCATCTGTCACTAGGTTGCCTCCCCCATTCATTAAGGGACCCACACTTTCCATGACCTTTTTCTTGTTGCTAACATACCTGTAGAAACCCTTCTTGTTACCCTTCACACCCCTTGCTAGCTGCAACTCCAGTTGTGTTTTGGCCTTTCTGATTACACCCTTGCATACTCAAGTCTGTATTGACTTCACAAGTGCTTTTTATGTAGCCTGTTATAAAACTAGGCAAATATCTAGATGAGTTGATGTACCCTCTGGAAACCTCTGTGTACCCTCAGGGGTTCGCATACCCCTGGTTGAGAACCATTGGTGTACAGTATGAATCTAGAGCTAGCTGTACAGAGTGGGGCAGGTAAGAAGCAGTGATGGAGTGAAACAGCCAAGGAAGTTGATAGGTACAGGAGCTACTCAGCATATCAATATGGCTGGTAAGGTCAAGAGTAATATACTAGAGTGAACGGTGGATTCTTTGTAACTTGAAGTCTTTACATCATGAGTAGTATACGGCTCAACAGTATTCATCACCATTTATTTTTTGACAGGTTTCCACGCTCCCTCTGGGGTTTATGTCCCGCCCTCCAACCCTGTTTCTGTTGGCGCTGAAGTTTGGTGCTGTTGGCCATTTTGAAAAAAAAAATTCGTGCGTTGTGTGTGTTTGTGCTTGGATACATTTAGAGAAAAAGGTTGAAAGAATAGAGTGAGAGAGTTTAAAGATGAAAAAAGAAAGTTTGGGTAAGGTTTAGAGGAAAAAAAGGAAAGAAAAGTTATTTGGGGAGGCAGAGAGAATTGTAAAGGTCTAGTTTGGCATGTTATTCAAGAATAGAAAAATGTGAAATAAATATAAAAGGTTATTAACTATCACGGTAGGTTAAGAAAAGAGGTAAATAATATTAAAGCTAGGTTTAAAAAGGAAATTTACTAAGTCAGAGCCTGTTTAGTAAGCACCTGGCCAAAAACTATAAAGGGGGGGCTAAGAAAAAAGCATTTAAACTACTCACTCTCAGGTTAGGTTAAGAAAAGAGCCTTTAAAACATTAAATTAAAAACTAGGTTTAAAAAGGGAATTTACTAATTCCCTGTTTAGTAAGCACATGGTAAAAAAGTGAATAGAAAAACATTTAAATTCAAGGGTAGGTTAAGAAAAAACATTTAAACTATTCAATATCAGGGTAGGTTAAGAAAAGAGCTTTTAAAAACATTAAATAATATTAAAAGCTAGGTTTAAGAAAAAACACACATAGCAAAAAAAGAGGGAATTTACTAAGGCAGATCCCGTTTAGTAAGCACATGGTAAAAAAGTTAATAGAAAAGCATTCAAACAATTAAATACAAGGGTAGGTTAAGAAAAAAGCATTTAAAAAGAGTTAAATAAAAGAAACATATAAAGAGAGGTTAAGAGAGAGAACAGGACAAGAAAAGGGAAAAGAAAGCCCCTTTGCAAAGGGCAAAGATAGACAGCACGTGGTTGAATCAGAGAGAGAGAGAGCGCTTTTACCCTTCCAGTCTTTCTGCCGAATGAACCAACTTCCCAGATTTACTGCCCCTCAGACCTGTTATCACCGCCTTTGGATTGGACCAATCAGATGTTGTTCTACAGCAGCGTCATAGAATTCGAATGAATTAATCCTATAGTCCCAAGATTTTAAACAAGAGCCAACTCCCTTCTCTCCTCCCCCTGCCCCCCTTTAACTGCCTTATTCTTATCTAAAAATGCAAATCCCCAAGCATTTTTCCTGCAATGTAGACCTTTTACATAGAAGCTTTAATAAAAGTTAAAACCATAATCTTTTAGTAACAAACAATTTTTAGAAGTTTTTCCCTAGGTGTTAGACTAACATGGGCTATTTTTTAGTAAGCACAACTTGAAGCTGCAGCAAAGCTCCTGTCAGCAAAAACAGCGACTGTGAGTCAGTGGATCAGAGATCAGAAGTCTGCTTCTTTCCCAAACTTTTTAACAAATGCAAGTAAAAGTTACATAAGCTATTTTTTCTTGTGTTTTTTGTATAAATCCAAACTTTAAAAAGGAATCTTGTTTTTTGATTAAAACACATATGTAAACTCCCCTCCATTGCCAGTTTTCATATTCTTACCCAGTTGTTTTGGTACTTTAAAAACACTATTTTTAAAAGGACAGCTAGTATCTTAAGCCTTTTTAGTTCACTAAACTTCTACAAAATATCCCTAAAAGGGGTCTTGATTTGTTACAGCTCAGTCAATACTGCTTTTTCATAATAAACTTTAAAAAAACCATAATGCTTCAAATAGGCCGCACTGCATACAGAATATCCTTTAAAAAGGTCATGTTATTTTACATCTCAGTCAATTCTGTATTTTCATGTTAAATGCTAAAATTATTTATATAATGAAACACTGCATGTTTAGCAAGTGTTAAAGGTATGGGGGAAAAGTCAAGGGGTGAGGGTATTCTTCAGATAGGCTATCTCTAAGCTTTGCGCAGTCACAAAGCAGTGTTTTTTGTCTTTTACAATCAGTAAATGGAATAAAATACTTCTTATAACTTTCATAAAGTATCTTTCAATGCAATCTCACCATTTTTTAAAACTTTAACAGCATTTAAAAAGTTAGGAAAGAAGTCTGTGTAAAAAATAGCCAAGCAAACTGAAGGAGTGACCCTCTAGAACCTTGCTAAGGCAGACTATAGTGCATGGAGCACTGGCTAGCCTAATTAGTCTTATCTGCTTTTAAAATTTAGAGAAAGCTCCAGCCTGTGTTGCATTATTTTAATAAAATCTATGGACCCAAAACGAACACAGGAGCTTGTACCTGTGTCTCAGCACACGGGCTGCAAACATTTAAAAACAAAGACATTCTGATAATGCAACAGAAAAATTCATACTTAAATCTAAAAGCCCTAGGAAAATAAAAGCTTATTATAACTTTCACATGGATTTGTTAAAAAGTGGGGAGGAAAATAAACTTCTCTCTGATCCCCTGGATTACAGAACAAGTGGAATATAAACTAGCTGTTACTAAGGATCTGTGGTTTTCACTCTGGGATGTTTTCTGCATGCTCATTTTTTTTTTAATTGAAACACACATGTAAAAATGTTAAATAAAGGGCTCTGTCTTCATATAGGTTTGTCTTTTAAAGTATTTATTCCTTTACAAAACTTAATATAACTTTCACTTGTATTTGTTAAAAAGCAGGCAAAGAAGCAGCCTTCTTATCTCTGATCTACTGGCTGGCTGTTTTTGCTGACAGCTGCTTTTCTGCAAAAGCCTGCTGTTTCGAACTGTCCTTACTAAAAAAAATGACTAGTGCTAGCCTAAAACCTAGGGGAAAACTTTTTTATCACTATACAGTACTTTTATAAACTGGTTTTCTGTGTTTTTTAACCCTGAACTGTTTCTGCACTCACATGTTATTGAAACACTTATGCTTAAGGGGCTAAACGAAGGCATGTGTGTCTTCGTATAGGCTTGTCTTTTCAAGTGTTTATAGCCTTACAAGACTTTCACCTCTCTTTTTTAAAATGTGGGGAAAGAAACAAACTTCTTCTCTCTGATCCAGAGGTTGACAAAATAAGGGGAATATAAACTGTCTGTTATTAAGAACCTGCGGTTTTAAACCTGGGATGCTTCTGCATGCTCTTTATTATTGAAACACTCCTGTAAATAAAGGGTTGTTTCTTCAGATAGGTTTGTCTTTTCAAGTAAATATAAAGCAGAGCTTTATTCCTTTACAAAACTTAATGTAACTTTAACTTGTGTTTGTTAAAAAGCAGGTGAAGAAGCAACCTTCTTCTCTCTGATCACAGAGGCTGTTTTTGCTAACAATGGCTTTGCTGCAAAAGCCTGTTGTTTCATATTGTGCTTACTAAAAAATAACCCATGTTAGTCTAAAACCTAGGGAAAACGTTTTTATCACTATAATTTACTTTTATAAACAGGTTCTCTGTGTTTTTAACCCTGGAATGTTTCTACATGCTCACTTTTTATCAAAACATATGCAAAAGTGCTAAATGAAGGGATGTGTCTTCATAAAGGCTTGTCTTTTCAAGTGTTTATTCCTTTACAAGACTTAATATAACTTTCACCTCTATTTGTTAAAAAGTGGGGGAAGAAACAAACTTCTTCTCTCTAATCCACTGGTTTACAAAATAAGGGGAATATAAACTGGTTGTTACTAAGGACCTGTGGTTTTCAACCTGGGGTGTTTCTGCATGCTCTGTGATATGCAGGAGATCAGACTAGATGATCATGATGGTCACTTCTGGCCTTAAGCCTTAGTCTTCTTCAAGTGACAGGCAAGGGCAATCAGAAGTGCGAGGAAAGATGAGACTGACCTTCAGGAGGACTTCCTCTTCGATTCAATAATAGTTAATTATTGAATCGAAGAGGAAGTCCTCCAGAAGGTCAGTCTCATCTTTCCTAATAGTCAAATGGTCCTGTACAACTAATAAAAATTCGGCAACAAAAGTCACAGTTTAATGGCCACAACTCTAGAAGCAGGGGTATTAGCAGAAATATTTTTTGGCATGAATTTAAAAGAATTAAACATGTTACTATTTTCATTTCTTTTCTCTGTGTGGGGTGGTTTCCATTGGGTACAAAGTGTATTCATTTTATGGAACAAAGGCAAACTATCTCAGCTACCTCTGCCTTTACCCATTGAAAGCAAATAAGACAAACAGCATATTTGTTAGCTATATATGTATTAGGTTATAATTGCCCACAGTTTTCTTGTAAGACTGCTCCGCTATTTATCTGCAGCGTCATGGCTGAGTTCAGAAGACAGGGCAATATGGTTTAGGAGCTGTTAGTGAGGGGTGACCAGTGTGTACTCACTCAGAACTCTTATTGGAGATGCCTTTCTTGCTGCACTTACTGCAGTGATGAAATGAGAGTAATTCATGTCTATAAGACGAGCAGCAATTCAGTTCATTAGTTAAACGGGACACAACGGGCTAGAAAAAGGAAGGAAAAAGGAAACATCACTTTTCAACATGGTTCATGACATTGGATTGTAAACACATTAAAAATATCCATCAATAAAAAACTTTTCCAACATACAATCTGTTTAACTCGGCCATTTAGTAAGATAATTAAAATGGAGGAATACACATTGTTAAGCTCACAATGTAATCTAATTAAAATGAATTCCCTTCATATTGATTCAAAATAGCTTTTTAAAAATGTTCTTAATGAATGTTTAGATGACACTTATTTTGGGGAGCCCATTCACAAAACAATGTATAGTGGTTTTGTGCTCTCTCTTTCGCTCTCACTCTTTTTGTTTCTGCTGTAGTAGTTAACCAGCACTGTTTTGAGAGTCATATACATTTTTGGGGAACATCAACAATTCTGATGCACACACACATAAAAAAGGAAATAAGTAGCAGCTCTATATTGGGTTCATTTAAAAGACAAGGAGGGGAAGGGAAAAATAAAATTGTCAAATGAAAATGGACAAAAAACAAACTTCACAGTAGAGAATGAAATGCTGTATTTCTAAGATAGCATACCAAACAATGAAGAAAAGAATTTATAAAGCATTTCAGGTTATTACATTAAATAATTATAGTATATACATTCCAGTTGTTCTGGGATTTATTCCTCTGTGGTCCAGTCCAGCACCCAATAATGTCATCAGAAGGACTCTCATTGATTTCAGTTAGATTTGGATCAAGTTCTTGGATTTTAAGATTAGTATAAATAGCCATGCCACATTTATCAGGAGAATTTGGAGGTGTATGAAGGAATGAGATGAACTGAATGCTTCACTTATGTCACTTGTCCCAAAAAGCAAAAGTTACTGTAAATTAAAGACAAATTATGAGTGTAGAAGAGTGACAGATCTGAACCAACCATCAGCTCTTTCTAATGAGAATCCAGCTTTGTTTTGTTAGCTGAATTAAGTATAGCATTTAAGTTCTCTAACTTATGCAAGCCGTCACAATATGGCACAACACTTGTCTGACTAGGAGACAGAGATGTGGTTTAAAAAATGCATAATTATGAATGTCTTCCAAAATGTTTCAAACTGATTTTTCCTTTGCCTCCAAAAGGACCTTACTACAGTAAACAATTTCCATCAGATGTAAAAAGCTGGAAGGAGACAGGGAGGGAGAGAGAGAGAGAGACACCCACCCATTCAGAATAGCCAATAGCCCAGTGATTAGGAAGCTCTTTCTCCCACTCTCCCTAGTTGTGAACAATTTGAAAAGGTTTTAGTTTTGTTCCAATGCAGAAAGAAAACAAATTTCAAAACCTAAACATTTTTTATGGTTAGGAAATACTTATCAGTTCACAGAGAACAAGAGTAACTAAAGTCAATTAGTAATGATGGTGAAGAAAAAATTCACCTACTGGGCAAAAAATATGAAAATTATTTCAAAGTTTGGAGCAATCAAGTGCACATGACTATATTTATGTTTTATAGATTACTAACACATAGCAATCAATGTTGCTTTAGTGAATGTATTCCTGTTTGCAATGTTATTTCTGTTATTTGTATTTATATGAACAACCCAATTAAAATATCCTTTCATTCTCAAACTGCAGGGTCTCCTACTGCAGTAGAAGAAAACCTCCTGTATGCGCCCTGTACTTCTGCATACCAAAGCTCCCCAATGTAGCAATAGGCAGACTGAACTGTGTCTAGAACTTAAGGAAAATATTATTATGGATGGGCCCAGTCTTACAACTTGCTGGGTCCTAATCTGGATAGGGGGTTGGGTCCGGGGGGGGGAGGGGCGGTTAGGGGTGGGGGGTTCCAGGAGGGGCGATCAGGAGACAAGGAGCATGGGGGGTTGGATGGGTCAGGAGTTCTGAGGGGGGCAGATAGGGTGCAGGGGCCAGGCTGTTTGCAGAGGCACACAGCCTTCCCTACCCAGCCCTCCACACCATTTCGCAACCCGGATGTGGCCCTCAGGCCAAAAAGTTTGCCCACCCCTGTGCTAGACCATCACAGGACCAGAATGACTGTTGGCAGAGGGCTTCTGGAAAGGAAAGCGATGCAATCCATCTTCAACAGGTTGATGTTTTTGTTTTTTGAAAGCTGCTAGGACAATTGACATTCTTTTAGGATTCACTGAAAAAATCCACCTCCAAACTTGATATCAAAAGCATGGACCTAATTCTGCTCTCACTTCCACCAGTTTTCCAATAGGGTCATTTGTATTGTTTTCAGTGAGACTATTCCTAGTTACACTAGTGTGAGACCAGAATCAGTTGCTGTATGTTCTAGAAAATATTTCAAATAGAAATGTATGTGGCTAGGGAAATACTCTTCCTGCAGGACCTAGAATTCATCTTTTCCCCAGGACAAAAACATCACTTTTGAAATACTAGTCCAAATGTATCTGTTGACTATTCACTGTTGCACCAGAAAAGAATACAGCTCACTGTACACAAGGAAGCAAGGTAGAACTCAGAAGTGACCTTAATGTTACTTGTTACTATCTAACTGCAGGCAACTGCAGAAGCAAATGTAAGTAATACCCTGTTACTGACACACCTCGTAAGTCAACAGGTAGGTGAATTTGGATGGTGACGGTCCCATCAAATGCATGTTCTGAAGTTACTATAAACTGTTCAAATTTCCTTCTTTTGGATTAAAATTTGATCAATATCCTGGACTGATCCTAGTTCCACTCCCCTTCTCTGCAATGCATTTTGGGATTCAAGGATGATGGGGGCATCTTTTTAAAGGAAAGAGATACTGTTCCTTAAAATTATGGGCATATTACACATTTCTGAGCTTGTAGCTGATTTTCTATCGTGCAATGCAAGGCAGACGTTTTCGCTCTGAAACTGAGCAGCAAGGAGCCGCTAACTCTTTACATTTCTCTCTGCGGGGACTAAGCCCTGCCTGCAAAGGATTTCAGTGCTCTGGAAGCCAGTTGTAACAAGCGGGTGGGGAGGGGAGCAAAGCAGGCAGGCCCTGCTCCCTTCCGCCGCGGCGGCAATTTGGGGAGGCAAAATGGGTGGAGCCGCCCTGAAAGCAGGCGATGCTTACTGGGCAGGAGACTTCGCTCCGGCGCGCCCCCGGAGCAGGCCGTGGCGGGTCAGGCTGGGGGCTCGCTCAGTGGCTGGTTCGGAGAAGAACCTCCCCGGCCCTGCTGCGTACGGAGGCTCCCGCCGCGCTCACCGTCGGCCTGCTGCCCGCGCCTGGCCCGCCAGCAGCGCGAGCCTTTGCCCCGGCAGGACTAAGCGTCTGCTGTGGCCGCAGGCCGGCGTGTAACGTTGCAGCGGGACGCGGAGGGCAGCAGCCACTGCCCCGTCCCCACTCGCCCCGCGGCAGACACGCGCACGCTGACCTTCCTCCCAGCGCCAGCCAGAGGCAGGAGCCACCCGCTGTCCCGGGCAGCTGGGATCCCCGCTCCGCGCCGGGGCTCGGACCTGGATACGGCCGGTGCAAGGCCGGCTTCAGCCGTGCTCGTGTGCGACCTGTAACGCGCCCTGGTGGGCATGTGCTGCTGGCGGCACGTGAGCGCTAGGAAAGTGAAGCCCCGCTGAAGTCACTGCCCCCTGCTAAACGCCCACAAAGCTGTTGGCTGCCGGGACTGGGAACGGGTTGGGAGGGAGCAGGGAGGGAGCCGTGAAAGAGCAAAGGGAGAGGTCAGAATTCCGGCCACGGTTAAATAATAAAAGACTAAAATTAGGTCCCTAGCTATTTAGGCACCCTACTAAGAGGCCAGCTCTCCCCCCCTCAAAACTCCAGAGGCTCCAGTATCTCCTGTTAAGGGGTGCTCAGCACTTTGACAAACAGCTCACTTATTTAGTTGCCTAATTACGGGCATCAAATAAATAAGTCAGCACCTAAGTCTCAGTTTTGGACACTGGGGTCTCTAAGTCACTTGAAACAGGGACTTAGGCTAAGTTAATTTAGGTGCTCTTGAAAACTTCACCCACAGCAATAAGGAGTCAGGTGGCAACTTAAAGCCTAAGATTTATTTGGGCATAAGCTTTAGTGGGTAAAAAAAACCACTTTTTCAGATGCATGGAGTGAAAATTACAGATGGCAGCATTACATACTGACACATGAAGAGAAGGGAGTTACCTTACAAGTGGAGAACCAGTGTTGCCAGGGCAAGTTTGATCAGGGTGGATGTAGTCCACTCCCAATAATTGATGAGGAGGTGTCAATTCCAGGAGAGGCAAAGCTGCTTTTTTAGTGAGCCAGCCACTCCCAGACCCTATTCAAGCCCAAATTAATGGTGTTAAATTTGTAAATGAATTTTAGTTCTGCATTTTCTCTTTGAAGTCTGTTTCTGCAGTGTGTGGGGGTTTTTTTTTTCTTTGGTTCAAGTATGGCTACTTTTAAATGTGTTAGAGAATATCCAGGAAGATTGAAGTGTTCTCCTACTGGCTTTTGTATGTTACCATTCCTGATGTCTGATTTGTTTCCATTTATTCTTTTATGTAGAGACTGTCCGGTTTGGCCAATGTAATGGCAGAGGGGCATTGCTGGAACACAATCGCGTATATAACATTAGTAGACGTGCAGGTGAATGAGCCCCTGATGGTGTGGCTCATGTGGTTGGGTTCTCTGATGGTGTCGCTAGAGTAGATATGGGGACAGAGTGGGCAACGGGGTTTGCTACAGGGATTGGTTCCTGGGTTAGTGTTTCTGTGGTGTGGTGTGCAGTTGCTGGTGAGTATTTGCTTCAGGTTGGGGAGCTGTCTGTAAGCAAGGACTGGCCTGCCTCCCAATGTCTGTGAGAGAGGGACTGTTTTCCAGGATAGATTGTAGATCGCTGATGTGCTGGAGAGGTTTTAGCTGGGGGCTGTATGTGATGGCCTTTGGTGTTTTGCTATTTTCTTTGTTGGACCTGTCCTGTAGCAGGTGACTTCTGGGTACCCATCTTGCTCTGTCAGTCTGTTTCCTCATTTCCCCAGGTGGGTACTGTAGTTTTAAGAATGCTTGATAAAGATCTTGTAGGTGTTTGTCTCTGTCTGAGGGATTGGAGCAAATTCGGTTGTATCTTAGGGGTTGGCTATAGACAATGGATCGTGTGATGTGTCCTGGATGAAACTCCCATAGTGTAACTTTAGTTGCCTGTTTTTGAAAATCTTGGGTCTGAGTTTGGGTTTATGGAGGTGCTGAGAGGGGAAGAGAGATCTTCTTGGAAAAGAGAGTGGGGAAGTGTGCTACCTGAGCGGTGATGGGTAGAAGAGACCACACCCACACTGAGGTGGGGAAAGAGAGACAGAAGCTGTATTGTGTAGCAGGTCCAGCCTTGTTGTGCTTCTGCTCGGCATTCTAGATTCAGTCTGGGACCTACATCATTCAGCATTTAAAACTGATGCGATAGAAAATGATGTGATAGAAAGTAATTGCCTTGAGTTTATTCTTAAAATATTTATTTTCATTTCATTCTTTAGATATTGGCAGACACAGGGATAAAGCAAGGGCCCTGAGCTGAAGCACTTACATTATAATTTACACGTAATACCATAGTAAATATATCCCCTCATACAGGAGGTGGGAAGAAGAGAGCATTGGGGGGGAAGGTTAAAGTGCTTAAAATTCGTTTGTCCTGCAGGGTAAAATGATTTGAGTTGTGTTATTAAATCCTACACAGGTTTTTAGTAATGTGGAACTGTGAACGGGTTCCCCCTTCAGCTCCTGGGAGGACTGGCTGGCTCTCTCTGTAAATTAAGCAATACACACAGTCCACCAAGGTACCTCCACCAAGTGCCTTTGTTCCAGTGTGATGTACTGGGAGCATAAGTAGTAACAGTAGTTCCATGGAGCCCCCTTCCTGTTCCCTAACTCAGCCTTTCATGCTGCTTGCTTTCTTCTCAGCTACCCAGCTGTTGAACTAAATTACCTCATCCCTTCTACCCTTCCAAATCACAACTACGCGAATTGCATCCAGTGCCCTGGGTGAGCTAAGTGACCAGGATGCTGGCTTTTAAAGGGCTCATTTTATAGCTGCCAACAGCACTCTGTCACAAGGGCAAAGGAGTGCAGAACGCTATTGTAGTACTAACTAGAATAGGTTGCCTGTTAGGAAGGATATGATGAAAGAAAAGGTTGCAATGCACATGTTTAGTTGCTTTGCTCAATCTGGGCCCAAGTGTACAGGGGGAGGTAGTATAGAGCACAGCACTGAAAAAGGTGTAGCATCAAAGTGTGAGTGGATGTATGGGGCATGTAGTTGAGTGGAATGCAGGGTACATTATACAGAAAATGGATAGAGTAGAAATGATAAAAGGGGGCCTGAGCTGTGGTGGAGCCACCTGAGTCATGGCTCTACTACTACTAAGCACAGGCAGGGGTGGCTAGAACTAGAGGGGACTCGGCTACCTCAAATCTGAGCCACTCTGCCACCTGTGTACACAGCCCAGGTGAAGCCCCATTCTGGTGGTACCAGGGCTTGCTTGGCACTGGGCCACCTGGCTGCCCAGAGCCCAGAGTCCCCAGAGCCCAGCAGTGGCAATGAGGCAAGTCTGTGGGGCCCCAGCATGGTGCTGTAGGCAGAATCTGTCCCACGTGCATCCAGTGACTCAACCCTGGTACAGCAGTGGTGAGTTCATTCCTGGTACAGCAGTGGTGAGAGGGAAGGGGAGGGGGAATGGATGGCAGGGGGTGGGGCTGGAGAAAACTACGGGCACTGCCGCACACACCTCCCCTTGCTCCCAGCCCTCCAACCCATCCCTCCCACCGCTCCTATAAGCCTCTCTTCACTGCCCCTCACACAGCCCCCACCCCTCCTTGCAGTGACCCTTTTCCAAGCAGCACCATCCTCTCCTGACCCTTTCATTACACATCCCCTTCTTATCTAGGTTACACAACTATAGCACTTCACAGCCATTCTGGAATTCTTTGAATTGACACTCTAGCCCTGGCAGCGAGTGAACTCCCAGGGGCTCCCTCCACGGATTGAACCTGACCACTTGAACAAATGTTAAAGGCTGTCAAGGTTCCTCCCCCACTCTGAACTCTAGGGTACAGATGTGGGGACCTGCATGAAAAACCTCCTAAGCTTATCTTTACCAGCTTAGGTCAAAACTTCCCCAAGGTACAAAATATTCCACCCTTTGTCCTTGGATTGGCCGCTACCACCACCAAACTAATACTGGTTACTGGGGAAGAGCTGTTTGGACGCGTCCTTCCCCCCAAAATACTTCCCAAAACCTTGCACCCCACTTCCTGGACAAGGTTTGGTAAAAAGCCTCACCAACTTGCCTAGGTGATTACAGACCCAGACCCTTGGATCTTAAGAACAATGAACAATCCTCCCAACACTTGCACCCCCCCTTTCCTGGGAAATGTTGGATAAAAAGCCTCACCAATTTGCATAGGTGACCACAGACCCAAACCCTTGGATTGGAGAACAATGAAAAAGCATTCAGTTTTCTTACAAGACTTTTCATAAAAATAGAAGTAAATAGAAATAAAGAAATCCCCCCTGTAAAATCAGGATGGTAGATACCTTACAGGGTAATTAGATTCAAAACACAGAGAACCCCTCTAGGCAAAACCTTAAGTTACAAAAAAGATACACAGACAGAAATAGTTATTCTATTCAGCATAGTTCTTTTCTCAGCCATTTAAAGAAATCATAATCTAACACATACCTAGCTAGATTACTTACTAAAAGTTCTAAGACTCCATTCCTGGGCTATCCCGGGCAAAGACAGAATATAGACAGACACACAGACCCTTTGTTTCTCTCCCTCCTCCCAGCTTTTGAAAGTATCTTGTCTCCTCATTGGTCATTTTGGTCAGGTGCCAGCGAGGTTATCTTTAGCTTCTTAACCCTTTACAGGTGAGAGGAGCTTTCCCCTGGCCAGGAGGGATTTCAAAGGGGTTTACCCTTCCCTTTATGAAAGGCACATCGCCTTGTCTACATTAGGCAGTTAACATGTTACCTAGACCAGGATTTGGAAGGTATTGAGGCCTGAGGGTGAAGATCAGAGTTCAGCAAAGATCAGCAAACCAGGGGAGATTATTACCAGGATGCCTTTTTGGCAGTTGCTTTTTTAGGGGACTTCATCATGAACAGCTATTGTACAGTTATAGCTTCATGTCTGCCAAGTATTTCTGTGAAATTAATGCATGCAAAATGGAAAAAGTTTTTCCCAGACCTTTTTAATGTAGGTTGGAGCAGAAAGAGTTGTTAGTTTGATGTGACTGTTAGCAACGTTGTAATAAAAATCAAAATTTACCATTGACTTTAATGGGGCCAGGATTTCACCTGAAGTATGTTTAGGGAAATAATGGCTAAAAAGTGATGATGCTGAGACATGAGAGATTGTGGAGTCCCAAATCAGAAT